GGAAGCGTATGTAGCACAGAGACTGTGAACACTACAATACGTTTAATTTATCAAGAGGATTAAAACCTCTGGCCTGGAAGGCAAATAGCAACTGCGTAACTTCTAAGGTAAGCGGCCTGCTTCGAACTCACTGCTTCCTCTCTGTCTCTTGGCAAAAAGGCCACACTTAAATACTTGGCGTTCGCCAGACAACTTTGCATAAACTCCTTCACGCTTATAATTCTGGCCGGAAGTAGAAAATAAGAAGTGATAGTAAAGATTTAAAATAAAATAAACGTTAGTAAAACTTAAGATCCTTACAAGCTAGCTGATTGATTCTGAATTTTATGGAACTAGGAACAGAGAACTTACCGCATTGTTTAAATTTTCTCTACATTTCATCCGAAAACTTAAAAATTAATGGCACTCTATTTACTGCGCCTTTAGAGACTAAGAAAACAGCATAATTTATTCCTATTAATTCTTAACCCACATTTAGCACGCGTATTAAATTCTTCGAACAAATGGTTATTGACAATGATTTACATTTCTAATTTATATTGTTTGCTTAATATAAAATTTGTAAAAACACGAAATCTCTTAAAATTTGCCCAAGATATAAGAAAAATCACTCTTTATTGAAGAATTTCAAATTTCAAGATATGAGCTTAAGCCTTTCCGGCACGCTACCTTTTAAAGTCGGAGTTTTGATAAAAAAAAAGTAAACTTTTGTGAAGATAGCACTTATCGCTTTAACTCTGTGGGTGTGCCCAAAGTGGCACACTGATTCACTAGAGCCTGGAAAAGAGTGCTGAAACGAGCATTGTTGTCAATGAACTGACCGATGAGATGAGGAGAAACAAAGACTACAGACTCTCAATTGTCCTAGATTATCGGTGAGCCCGGTCGGGGTACACCTAGGGTTGGCCGTTTGATTTTAGGCAAGATTTCATGGTAAAAATGTAAAACTAATATAGAATAAGGAGATTAGCATACAGCCAAAAAATAACATAGAAATTTCTTTTTAAACAATTCCTTTTATACCCTATAAAAAATCTGGAAGATTTCTTTGAAAAATGAGGGTCGTAAAAAACTAAACATGGTTAAAATATATGGACTGGTTTGTGTTGAGCTGCCATCTACTATAAATAAAGAAGGTTCAGAGTAACCTATAAATCGTTTTTCATTCAATTTTTCTGTGCGTACAGAAGGAAATTTTTAGGTGTGTCCAGACCGGACACACTGTGCCGCAAAGGGTTAAACTAGTCACTGGAATAAAATTAATTAGAACATTATATGAAACTAAATCACACTCCCACAGAAATTATTACAAGAATCTACTAGTTTTAACATCCAATTTCTAAATTTTTGTTCTTGTTAAGGTAAGGTTCCTTAATATAAGGAATAAAGGGGAGAAATAATAGTTTCTGCCGTATTCGAAAATATTGTGAATGATAAGAATGCAACTTTTGAAAAATTGAATCGTCTATTGTCTTAACTGAAGCATACTTAAAGGGTTTTGTATTCCCTGAATACCTAAAAGTTCAGATTTTTAATCAGAATTTTACGGAGTTGGATTATTTACGAGAGATTACGAAATTCACCTTTTTATTTGTACTAAATTAAAGTATCATTGTTGGAGAGTGAGATATGATATACCAAATTAAAGAAAAATTATCTTATGATAGGCTAATCAAGGCTAATATGATGAGGTTATCTGCTTTGGAAGTGGCGTTTCTGTGGGAAAACACTTCATATCTGCATGTATAGGGATTGGGTTCATGCATCTACATGTATAAGAACCACGAAATCATTATGTATATAGTTTAAACTACTAAGAACCATAGAAATCATAAACTACAAGCTTTTTGGGGGTCTTATTCCCTTTATCTCTGGTCACTCTCATCAATTATTGTATTTTAGATTGTTGCAGGTGATGCTGACAGAGTTAATATGGAGATTTAGATTATAATATGGAGACAGATTTAATATGGAGATTTAGATTTTAATATGGCCTTTTCTGTAACGGCCAAATGATTTTATTTATCTTACATGTGAATTCCATCTTTACCAGGAGAAACAGATTCTAACTACTAAAAATTCAAATTAATGTATAATTTGTTAAATTGAAGCTTGTGGTACCGACTGAACAATTATTATCCAACAGCTACAGTTTTGACATCTGGAAGTCATAAAAAAGACATCGTAATTAAAAATCTCTCACAAGGATACATATCACGGATAATATGGCTAAGTAACTGAGCCCGTATGTTATGAAAAGTAAAGAATTTTCTGTTTCTACAGCAGTATACGTACCTGTATTTAATTCGCTTGCTCGTAACTTCAGTTTAAACACCCTTTATATCTCAGTAAATATTTGAGAGCAGAACCAATAGAAAACAGAACGGTTTACAAGTTAAAGCTTAACTGTTATAACTTACATATAACTGTTATAAAAACATATGATATTTTATCCAAAAAAAATTAATTACGCATTGTTTCTATTCCATATATTTGATATGTCTTTTTTGATTCTGATCCCATATTTTTGTGATGTATGAAAACAAATACTGTCAATGGCTGAAATACTTACCTTTGGTAGTCTCATTAAAAATTATGATTACATTTCCTCTCTATATTTTATATTTAATAAATTAAAATGTTTTTCGCAAAATACTAACCCTGTAAGTTATTAAGCAACGGAAATTTAAGCTCCAGATTATCAAAAATATTATTTCTCTGAAGCAGTTATTTAGCAATTTAAAAAATGTTATTAAATTATAAAAGGCATACAAATAAAAACTGAGTTAGAAATGCAACAGCACTGCGTAAAATTACGATTTTATCCCAACGATTCCTTGCAACTATTTTGCAGTGATGCATGACACTGAGAACAAAAACATCATAAAAGTAAAATAAAATCTTATGTGCGCTATCTCTGAGATATGCGTACCCTGCTGTTCTTGAAGCTAGTTACTCTTTTTTCAACATCTCAAGGGAAAAAGATTTAACGCGTGGTTGAATGATGGATTAAAGCTCTGTTTTTTTTCTCAGTCGGACGTCCATTAAAGAAAATAAAACTGCTTTCGATCATACATGCTCTTTCTTTCCATCATTTGTACTATTATTCAGTCGATTAATAATAACTTTTGAATGAGAAAGCTTTCTTCTGAAAGAGTTATTTTTGTAGTACGCAAGTTCAATGAGGTCACACTAAGTAACTTTAAAGACGATTACTCTAATATCATCTTAAATCTGCCATTTAAGACTTGAAATGTCAATAGCTACTTTCTGAAAGATCTATAATTATCGGCTCGTTAGTATTCAGTCGAACGAGAGATGAAGGGAAACAATAATACCAAGCAAGTCGGTAACAAATATTTCGAAAGTATAAAAGGGATTTTCTTTTCTATTGCCGGCTTTCAGTTTAGATAATATAGACTTAAAATACATGAAAGCTTAGTAAATACTGTTGTTTAAATTACTTATTTGTATAATATTCATTTAAATTTCGCAGATTATGTAAAACGTCTTCTCATTAACATTTATATTAATTACTGTAATTCTGAATGCTTTTTATCTCCTTCCTTAATTAGATTTCGCATTGCTTGGGGTTAACATGCAGCTCTTTTGGCTGCCATTTTTCTGTTTTACATTTGCAGATCACAGCATTATGGAACATTTTGAAAATAAATTTTCGCTTTTTATTTCTTGTCATTTTCCTATTTCATAATATTGTACGCTTAATTTAAAAGAAGAAATAGAAATGCCATTATACGCGTATTTTCTAGTTTTGTAACTGCATTATTATAAATGATACACTGTTAGTTATAATAACATATTACAACTAAAATCATTTTAAAAATGAGGCCCAAATTTATAAGAATTACTTATTTGTTACACGATTAATTTTTAATGCTTTCCAGCATTTAGTGACGAATTCTAAGCATCATAAATGTGAAACTCCTTATGCTATTTAATAACTGATTTGAAATGAGGCATCTGGTCCTAATTAATGGAAATTTTTTAACTAATTCACATATCAGACGCATCCATTCTGAAAATGCCAGATATTTTATAGTGTTTCATTCGTTTGGTATGATTATGAATTTGTCAATTAATTATGTTTTATAAATTTGTCAGTTAATTATGCATCGATTATTATTTTATTTTATTTAAATTTAAATAATATAAAACAAATTAAAAAAGAATTATTATGGTCGAATAGATAAATACGTAAAATTTAACTGAATTTAAAACGCCAAAAATTAAGGCTTCATTCTTTTTTCATAACAAACTTTATCTTAGTAAACAGAAGCTACTTTTTAAATGCTGTCATAATTGATGGTTTCAGTAAATACTACTTACTTATCAGCATGTTTTTAAACAGTACCGTATAAATTCATCTTTAACGCAACTGATGAGGAAATATTTAAAACTTAAAACATTGAAACTAGTGTAACATTTTCTTTTACCTTCTTATTTCTTTAATACTACATCTTGCTTGCAATATTCAAGAGTATAAATAAAGTTCCATTTGCTATTTTTAGTTTTGATTATAAATAGTAATACATACAGGTCCGCACTTTTTAGTCATTATATATTTTATAAAACTGATTAGATTTGATATATATATAAATTCTATGTCTTCGAATTCAGAGTTTAGCTCTTTTTCGCAAGAAGTAGACTAAATATGGTAACTGATAGAAAAGCTAGAGAAAAATTAAAGATAATAATATTGTAAGAAGAATCACTAGAGCCATCGTTTGGAAAACAAAGTTGAATTTTTTTAAATTTAAAGTAAAGGGTATGTAGCAAACTAGAAAGCGTTTTCTTTCAAAAGCGTAAACAAATCACAGGCGGGATGATATGTTAAATAATTACATAAATTAATGCTATATGAATTAACATATTTAATACATAAAATAATTTCTAATAATCAAATAACTTGTGCAATGATAATATATGCAACTGTAATACCATGTAAAGATTTGATTATTAAATAGTATAGCAAAACTTACAAAGCAACGCAGTGAGCAGCGGTGACAACCCACTCTTTGTTGATTATTGAGCCACCACAAATATGAAAAATACGGCCGCTTTTCATTGATTTTCTTTGCAAGGAAATCTGAAATGATATAAAATAAGTAATAATTTCCGACCCATATAAATAATATGTTTTATAAGCTGATAGCTGCGACTTACCTTTAAATTACATCTGATCCAATGTTCCAGACTTAATAATACAAAAATTCACTTACCGACATTCAATAAATACATCTGAATCCGAAAAGGCATAAACACTACTTACCACAGAAATAAATACATGTATGCATTACCTGCCATGGAATTTCTCCATCAGCCACATCTCTTCCTCCGACAACCCTTTGCTCGCCTTGTCCTATCATTCCCATTTGCTCTTCGTTTTCCGGTAACCTCTTAGATAGTCCAACAGGTTCGGGCAATTTTTCTGGTATATCAGTTTCGTCGTACGGGTTTTCGGGGATTCCTATCGAGTTAGGAACCCTACCGGTCAGTCCCATTGGATCAGGATTTCCTGTCATCATTTCCAGTGATTCTGGGATCAAACCAAAATGCCCTTTGGATTCGGGTAGTATTCCAGGCATTCGATGATATAAAGACAATTCTCTTGAAAATCCAGTAAATTGGGTTTCTTGCCCGGAGACACTTGGTATTTCAGGAATCATTCCGGAATAATGAGAAAAATCATCATTCTGATGTTTATGGTAAAAGGAATGAATTTTAGGAATATTCCATGGTTGTTGGTCTCTTATAGCAAGTGTATGGCCGTCCCATTCATTATCCATTCCTGGTGGGCCATTGCGGAGCAAATGCTCATAAGGACTGTCGATATTTGTCATCCCAGGAGCTCTAAAATAACCTGCAAAAGAATTATCGAAACGTTGGTCGAAATCTCATAAAAATCATCACTGAAACAAAGTTTCCAAAAATATTATTTTTTGGGTTTATGTAATGAAAACTAAAAAAAAAAAATTAATAAAAAATAAATTTTAAAAAAATTTATCATTATGCTTATTTCTTGGGAGCAAATTCATAAAAACTCAATATAGTCTTACCGTTGGCAAGAGAAAGAAATTCCGAGATAAAGATGACTGAACACAAGATTTTCATTGCAGCGGTCTGTTTCCCCATTTCTCCAAAAAAATGATTCGTTAAAAGTGTTGGAGAGCCTTATATGTGGGTTGGAGTAGCGACCCGATTGAAGTGGCCTCTGTCTCTCTCACTCTGGGTACGAGAGGGAAAGCTAACCCACTTCCTCGAGTTGTTTCCTGAAGGGAAATTTCTCATTAAAACTCCGCGTATGCTTTTTTAGCTATTAGTGCGAATCTTTTGGTGCAGGCCAGAGCATAGATCTCGGTCATTACCATTCAGTGTCTCCATAGAAATTTTCATTCACAAGATAAAACATCAACAAGACTGGACATTGGTTATTATGCAATGCATGTCGGATATACATTTTCTTTGATTTTTGTATTGCGGAGAGATGCTGATTTTTTTTTTCCATAAAAGACAATATTGGATTATTTGTCTTTCTTTCGCAATCTTTTTTTAATAATTTACAGCTTTTGAAGATGTTTATAAATTCTCTGTCATGTGCGATATCAGTAAAATTATCATATAACCCCTATTTATTTTAATTGCGCGCATAAGAAAATATTTAAATGTACAAATAAGAAAACCTACAGTTATTTTTCCGCTCATCTATAATTCCGCTTCTAGACTATACATATTAGTTGCATGTTAGATACTCTAAGCTAGTTATTTCGTAAAGAAAATTAGCTGTCAAATTAGGGAGCCAAATTAGGGAGATGGGTATTTTATTTATTTATAATTAAAATTTATTCAAAATTAAATTAAAACTACAGGCTGAAATTTATTTATTAATTTTTAAGTTTATTTACTAATTTCTGCTACATTTGGAATGAAGAAGCCTAAATAATGAATCAGTTCTAGAACTATCAAGCACAGTTAACCACATTGGCAATTGCAATGTTTTTCAAAATTCTTTAAAAAATATTTAGATTAGCTAAAGTCTCACTAAGCCAGGTAGTATTTTAAGTAGAATGAGAAATTGTAAAATCTTAATCATCAATTAATCATCAGAAAAGTTAAAAAAATCTGGCTGCCAATTTCGGTAGCACTGGGGTAATATATACTTTTACATATTGTGACTTGAATCCCAGTGAAAAATAAGGCTTTACAAATTCCTGGCTGAAGAACTCTTTAACGTATGAAACAATATTTCGTGTTAGTGAATTTTGTTGAGATTGCTATTAATATAATTTATAGCTCACAGATTATGATATGGTTCTAGAGAAATTTTATTAAACTGTTAATTAAAATTTCTTTTATTCCTATTATGAAATTATTTATAAAATTTCACGCTTTCAGTGTTGCAACAATCAATGAAAAACTTAAGATTATTTTCTCAGTATTGATCTAAATTGCAATAATAAATATAAAACTTAAGATTGTTTTCAATAATAATCTCACCTCACATTAATATCGCCTTCAAATTACGATGCAAGAAAATGATTCCATGAAAATGCTGTTCATTCATCCAAATTGTTGTAGAATAGGATCTTCATAATGAGATTGGAAAGAAGTTTCCTTAAAAAAACTTCTGTGTTCGATAATTGAAGAATCTAGAATTACTATATTAACCAATAAGTGCATTTTCTAAATACTGGTACAAAAGATAATTAGTAAATTCACAGTTGACTATTATTTCTGATTTGTCATTATTAGCAGTTCGTTTTTTTATCTAGAGAAATACTTTCATTAAATTTCCGATAGTTGCTACTCTCACATTTACACTCAACTAGGTCAAAAAGGTTTTACACGTAAATACAAAAACAAAATAAATACTTGTAAATACTTGTAAAGTCAAAATGATTTGTAGAGACATCAGGTTATTTGGAAGCAGGAGAATGAAAAATGAGCAATGCCTCGAACTTGAACCTCTCGAATACGTACCGAGTGTGCTACCGTTATACCACGAAGGCATGCAAAAAGGTGGGAGAAAATACTCTTCCTTTTAAAGGGCGACTGGGGTTATGGAACCCAGTCGCCAAATCCTGGTGGTGAAGAACCATCATCAAACACCTTTTAGTTCGGTCGCCAATGTAGCAACATTAGGTCATTTAGAAGCAAGAAGAATGAAAAATGAGCAATGCCCTTGCTGGGACTCGAACCTGGACCTCTCGAATACGCGCTGAGTGTGCTACCGGTACACCACGAAGGCGTGCAGAGAGGTGGGAGAAAATAATATAAAACGGCATATAAATATCAAAATATTGCAAAAGTTGAACACCTTTTAAGCAAGACCTTACAGCTACTCCAGACGAATTTTTAACACAACTGTTTACATAAAATTGGTTGTAATGTCAAGAGCATCTGCAAAGTTTTGGGACCTAATTTTTGCAATTAGTTCCAGTGGAATTGCCAAATAATAACTAGTGGCAAGATCAATAAAATGTTTCCTTTTATTTTTCTTCAAAATATGCTAGTTAGAAATGATTTCATCACTGAGTATTAAGAGTTGTTTTCCAGTATATATGCCTACATATTGATTTCGGATATGCAGTCACCCACAGGTTTTGAGTGGCATCACTTGATAATGCTTAAATGCTTCTAGTGGTGTGTGGCTATGCTGAAGTTCAAATTATGTATGTCGATATATTGGATATTAAATTATGAGAGATGTTTTCATTTGTATTGTGAACTCTTCTTAGACTTTAGATCAAAGTTTTATATGCTTCTTCTGGTTTCTAATTATTAATAATTGAAAATCAAATTGTTGTTCCTAACAACAAGAACAAATTCCAGTCGGTTTCATTAGTTTATTTTATCAGTGAAAAAGGAACCTGTGAAAATTTCAAAATTATTCTGCGAAAAATTCGGTCAAAAAATATAGACGCAATATTATGAGAATTTAAAACTAAATGCTGTTGCTCTTGGATTAAGCTACATAAAGGATTCGTAACATTTCTTTTTAAATAGAACAGCAACAGGAAAATCATACACAAGTAAACACTGTCAAATTGAGCAACATTTATCTTACGAAAGCTAAATGTCACCTACTCAGCAGTTGTGGATACCGTGACAATATACCTCCATTCACTGCAAATTAAACTAAGATCTATAAAGATCTTGATAATGTAACGGATACCTTTGGGTAAGATTCACACAAATGAGAAGCAAACTTCCTATCCTAGCAGTCAAAAAAGGTAATTTTAGGGTTCAATAAATTACAAAATTATTTCCACTTTTAGAATTACACTAGAGTTTAAATCTAACTAAAAACTCTGTTTAGAAACTTGAAAAAACTTTTGTAAAATTTTAAAATTTCCTAAAATATAAATGGAGAATTAAAAAAAATCATCTTTAGAAGACATTCGAAGCCATGCAGTATTATATATCTTTTAAACTTTATTTTGGTATGCGTTCACATCTAGATTTCTTCCCTGCCAGTCTTGAAATTGTGAGCGATGAGAATTCCAAGCGTTTTCAACAGGATATTTCTGATATTCAGAAAGTCCAAGTAAATGCTTGCAAATTGAAGGATAACGAAATCCATCGCGATCCTGATAAAGAATTAAAGGCATTATTTATTATGCTTCTATGAAGTAAAAGGTTTTGGCCGCATCAAGGATTGTTTTAGTTCTCCCCCCCCCATGTAAACCATAAAAAATTTAAGCTGCAAACATTTCTTCATTTTAATTTCATCGTGTTCCTTTTTTATTATCTGCGTAGAAGTATTTTAAATTTTAAACAATAAAACGAGATCTGATATTTTTATTTATGAAAAATATTAAATTCCTGTTGATATAATTTAATTATTCAAAAAAGTAGTCGAATTGCATTAAGACATTTATAAACATAATAAGCATTTATGAGATTTAAAAGTAAAATCGGTATTAAATGTGATATAAGAAATTTTATCCAGAAATATATTTTAATCGCCAGTAGAGGACGTAAATACTTCGTGATATATATTTCTTCTTCTTGGATCTGGTAGCGCCAGTAGAATGCGTGTTGGAATTGAATAAACTTTAGCTTGAAATCTGATTCGTATGTTCTTTACCTTTTGATTTTTCTGTGATTTGAATTGGATAATGGTTCTTGAACCAGGATAACATGAAACCTTTAGGTTCTATCATTTATATTATATGTGCCTTCGTATCTTAGTGTAGGTTACATTGAACTGAGCTAATTAAACCCTTGTCAGGTTTGCAGCAGCTTATGTAAGAGTGTTATGATAAAAAAGGTTTTACTTTCCATGCAGAAAAACATTATATGCATAATATTTCGGATTGTCTTTGATATATTTTCCTCATTTTCACACTGACAAAAATCTGCGCGCTACCCACAAATCTCAGCAAATTTCTAATATTTTGCTTTTGTTTTTCACGGTATATGTTTCTTACGATATCTATGTTTTGAAAACTTTAAAAGTATGTTTACTACACACGTAAGTATATTTATTAAGTTAGTAAGTAAGTTTTATTTTACAGTGACATTTTATAGAGATACTATTTAAACATTTTAAACTATTAAACATTTAAAACATACTATTTAAACATTTTAAAATCCAAGGAATCTGTCAGAAAATTTGCAGTAATTAAAGGTTCGCCTTCTGTGCATCCTTTTGATGGAGATATAGACAGCATATCCATTTAGAATTTCTAATCGGCAATAGCCAATTTTTTTCACTCTACCACTTAAAAAAACATTACTTAATGCATTGAACATTAAAATAATCAATGTGCTACATTGATGCTCGAATTATTAATATGTTAAGCGGTAGTCTTTACGACCTTGATTTGGCGATTGGGTCTCTCTTTCTTCTCTCGGGCA